CCCCAAAACCCCAAAACCCCAAAACCCCAAAACCCCATAAAGAGTCTTTGAGATTGAATCTTAATAAAATGGGATACTTGTTTCACTTCTTGACACGTCATGATTTTTCTTATCTTCCTCTTTCGCAAATTTAGATTTATAATTCTTAGCAAGGTCGATATCAGCGTTCTGGTACTTGTAAAGATTTTCTGATTTTTTCAGATGCTTTCTTCTCTTATAAACAATATTATAGTCCTCATCATCATCAGCAAGTCTATTCCTGAGCATCTCTTCTCTTTTGATATCTTCGAGCATCTTTTTATACTCCCTTTCTTCTGTGGCTTTCTTGATCCTCTCTATTCGATCCTTGATATTATACGAAACATAGTAGAAAATAAACAGACCAATGAATGCGATATTGAGGGCGATCATGAGGCAGAATAGTACTATGATCTTTGTATCTGATCCTGAATCCTCTATCTCAACTGCAATACCAAAGGTCACCAGTGCAACAAAATCTGCAATGTAATGCACTTTGTTGAGATATTCTTTCCTATATGGCTTAATTTTTGATACCAGAACACATGTGAGATATAGAACAATAAGCATCAGCAAAGCTCTATGACGAAGATGAATAGCTGATCCTATAGAGTTGATGGTAATTAGAAGAGTTTTTCTAAATTCCATCAAGAATTCCCAGTAATATGCATTCTTTTCATAATGATTATCTTCAGTTTCATGAGTCTTTCTTTTAAGTCCAATGTACCAAAACCCAAGAGTTCTCAAGTTCTTCTCTTCATCCAGATACTTCTCTCTTCGTCTGAGAGTAAGTAAGATTGTAATGGGAACACCGAATATCCAAATAATGAAGATGGGTACTCCTACAAATATGATCCAAAATATATGTCTTCCAGTCCAACACTGAATATTTGTGTTTTGCTTCAGCCAATTATCACCCTCAATATTCACTCAATTTATGAGATTTACAGTGAAATTTACAATAGTTGGGTACATCAAGTAATAAATAGCACATAAAGTTACGATATAAAGCCGTCCCATGATATGACGATATTTCTTGCTAATTCACCAGAATATTCCATAAAACGCACCTGCCATCAAACCTCCAATGATAGGGAATACAGAGATTATCAATAATTTCATGATATAAAGAGTGTCTTGGCTGATTCCTTGCTCGAGAAAGATTCAATCTAAAGATACTAGAGCTCTTCCTGAAGATTCTCCTCCAATTGATACGAATGAGACCATACTGTAAATTAAGCCACTTGTAGCATCAAAACTTGCAATGATTCCATAAATTTGCATATACATTGTGAAAATTCTGACCAACACTGTTGAGTCCTTCTCTTTTATCGCATTGATATAGTTATTATAAGTCAAGAAGGCCACATATCAGGAAGTCCCTAACATATACATAGCAAAGTAGATCATATTGATGGTATTGCTAGGGCACTCAGCTCAATCATATACTTTGCTCCGAGAATATTTCATAGTTTCATTAAAGACTCATTCGTTTCATAATCTGCCATAATATCCAGCTCTTCAGGTTGATTCTTGACCTCCGAGACACCCGCTGACACAAAGGCACTCATAAATGACGTCAGTATTTACTGAAGCTCTCCAGTAGCCTTTATCAACCTGGATCACATCTTCACCCGGGCAGTGAGCATTACTCGGGCAGTTAAGGCATCTTGAGGAGTTTGCTTCCAGTGTATATGTCCCTTGAGCACATTTCACTCAAATATTGTTCTCTTGAGCTTCTCCTCTGTCGCAATATCTGATGGCAAAAGGTGAATCAATCACAATTTGGCTGGCATTTGTCCCATATATCCTATTATATTTGTCTAAGTCAAGCGCAGAGGTCAGAAAAGTCAATGTTCCATTCGTACCAGGAAGACCAACAATAATTGTATTTGTGAATATGAATTCACCGTTGTTTGATGAGGCCCTTGATTGTTCACGTAAGCTAATATCAGACGAATTTATCTGAAGAGAAGATAGCTTGTTACCTAAATTAAATGCAACTTGATCAAAGAAATCATATGCAACATATGAAAGAATATCTCCAACTGTCTGCCCACTAACTACTGAGATTAAATCTCCTGAATTTATCTTTATCTCCAAAGGATATGCAGCATAGTCTGTTCCATAAGTAGAAGCAGTATTACCTTCAAAAATAGAATTAGTAATATTTGGTTTAAACATGTCAGTGTAAAGAGCTCCGCCATATTTTGATGCCGTATTTTGGGTTGCTTGAACACTTGAAAGCTTATATGAACAACCTGGGTCCGCATTTACGTCACAGCTTAAATATATAGCTCCTCCGTCCTGGGAACTACTAGATTTGAGGATAGAATTTTCAATTGTAACATCAACATTTTCTGCAAAAATAGAGCCTCCTCTTAGAGCACTCACATTATTTGTGAAATTAGAAGATGTGATTGTCAAATAATTTGGATTATTCTTTCTTTTACTCAATGATTGTGTCAAAGATATGGCTCCTCCATTTACACTAGAATCTAAGTATGAAAGAGTGCTGTTTTCTATTACAATATTAGAGCCCTCAGCCTCTACTGCTCTCCCAGATTCCGGTTTGTTTCCTCCCACAAGTGTAGAAGCTGTTATTGTAGAGTTCTTTATATTCAGGGTGGAGTCACCCAGTCCGATTAATCCTCCGTTGAAATTAGTAAATCTTGAGTTTACCAAACTCAGCACAGAGTTTTGCTGAATGTACAATAGGTTAGGAATATTAGATATCAAAGCATTAGTAATATTCACATCAGTAATAGTAGTATCACAGTTCCTCGTAATTATCATATTTGTTCCGCTTTGAGTAATACTTCCAATAATTACAGATTCTATATTCATCTTACTTCGTTGACATTTTAGAATCGGAATTCCAATTGAACTAAAATTAGTTTGCGATAGAGCAAAGCTTGACCCAGCAAGGACTTCAAATAAGAAAGGAATATTTTCTGGGGATATATTTGAGCCTATGATTTTACTAGATAAAAATATCTTACCTCCAACCAGCTGTAAAGTTTTAAAATCTGTGTTTGTAATACTCAAGAAGGATGCCTCTACATTTACAATAGTTGAGATTTCTGATGGCACGAAATACTCTAAATTGTTAATGTATAAGATTGAATCAGAGATAGCACTGATGAAATAGCTCTGGCTAATTGTTTTGGTAATATTGAACTTGAGGTACCCGTTCTCAAGCTTAATAGCAGCCTTATCATTTTGCTTCACTGAGTAAGTATCGACTAGTCCTTGAAGAGTGCTATAGCCAGTTAATTTAGTCCGAAGTTGAACTCTAGCATCAGTAGGGATGATATTTGAATTTATATCACATAGTGATCAAGAGCTAATTGAATTCTTTGCATATCCAAGATACATTATTGGATATAACATTGCCCAGTTTTTATCAAAAATAGCATTTGTGAGTATCATACTTGAATCATGTAGGAGATAAACAGCTCCACCCAGAACAGCTGTATTATTATAAAACCCACATTTAATGCAAGAGATTTCATTGCCATATTCACTATAAATTGTTCCTCCAAAGACAGCAAAATTATTTTCAAAAGCACAGTCTAGGAGAATAACATTGACATTCTTATAACCTGCAAAGATTGAAGCTCCATTTTGGAAACTAGAACAAAACTTGAAATCGATTCTTGTCAATGTTAACTGGGCTGCATTAAAGATAGAAATGACATGATCAGCTAAAGATTTAATATATTTGCTCACCTTGGATCTGCTGATATGTACTGTCACCTATAAGAGTCATTTAAATATCTTACTAATTTCTGATATTTGTCTAAAATCTGCCTGAATGGGAGTGAACTCATAAATGTTTCCAGTAGAATTAGTAACATTAACATTATTGATACGTATCAACTGTATTACTCCTTTGAAAGACATTCATGGAATTCTAGTGAAAGTATCATTGGTGAAAGTAGACTGGCTGATACTTAGTGTAAAATTTGGAGCAATCATTTCATTAAGCACCACAACAGATTTCTTATAAGTATTGAGTCTAGAAACAATGTTTGCCAATGAAAAGACATAATTCCTTGTACTCAAGATCATAAAGCTATGAATCTTAATCAAAGGAAAATTTCAACTAGCCAAAGTAACCTGGTCTACATTTCCTGTGTTGTTAAAGTCAAGAGTTGAAGCAACGACTTCAACTATCTCTAGAACATATTTTTCTCCTGTACCAATTTGTTCTCATATGCTAAGAGAAAGATTGCCTAGGGTCATGTCAGTTCCCTTCAGTATTTTTATTAGAGAATAAGATCCAAAGCTAACATTTTGGACAGTAAATCCTTGCAAGGTAAAGCTCGGAGTTGAAAACAAGAACATTTCAGCACCCAACATCTGAGTATTGGAGATAGTGATATTTGAAATCGATAAAGATGTTCCAATGTAGGAAGAATGAAGTATCCGAGGCTGCTTTGTATTCTGAAAGCCGGCTCCATCAAGTAAGGAATCTGAAATCGTAACAGTTCATGAGACACATTGAATATCTGCAAAAGCTCAATTTTCATATCATTCATTAATGTTCGTTGCATTTATCATTATATTCTGCCTTATAAGGATTGGATTGGCGCCACTGGTAGTTTGCAGATTTACCTCAATAAACTTCTTAAAATTTATAATATAGAACCTGTTATTTTCTACAGTCAAACTTGCCTGAGATGAAATTGTGCTAGAATACTTTATCTGGATCAGGGAGTTTAGGCTAGACAAGTCAAGCCCTGTTAAATTATTTGATGAAAATATATAAGCATTATTCACTGTAGAGTCATCACAGTATTGAAACCTGTTTACAGAGAGAAAGTTTTGCTCTCCAAAAACATTGAGTGAATTGAACGAAGATGTAAAGGAATTATCTATAAAAATGAGCTTCAAACCTACTCTCTATTGTGATGTTTCCAAAACCTGGAAACTCAATGACATTGTCTAGTAGTTTGTTAGAAAGAAGGATTTGATTGTTGCGTAGCTCTAATGTTCCTGCATTACCACCACAAACATCAGTTTGTGTAGAATTATCTCTCTTCATTGCAATATTTAGGATTCCTTTCAGGTTGAGCAGATTAAGAGTCGATCCTGAAATTATTAATCCAGCGTTTGTATGTGAAGTCATCTATCTGATTAAGCTCCCACAAATACCAAAAAGGATTCTTGTGCCGTAAACTGGCAGTTGCTTATAGTGACACTTGAGTACGAATCAGCACAGGTGTAGATAAAAGAGCCTATATCGTAGCCTAAATTTATCAGCCTTCAAATTTACATACTATAGATATCTAAATTTGTGTTCCCAGCAATCATAACAAGATTGGTCATGGTCACCTGGCTATTCTTTAAATTTATGTATGGACTATCTGTCTCAAAATCAATGCTTGCATATGATTCTGGTCCTCTGATTCTAAAAGAAGTCCCTTCAGCAGTTAATACTTTTGATTTCATTGCAGATGGGTACAAATTTATCTGGACACTAGATCCACTCCCTTGGATACTAAAGTTTATCTGAGAGTTCCTGATTAAAAGTGGATGGTCAATATCATAGTTATAACTCCCTGTTATCAAGAAAATAATATTGATTGTAAAACTATTAGGATAATTGAAAGCATCATATATTGCATGATCAAGAAATCTATATGGGTACTGTGCTGTTCCAAGCTCAATATTACTTGAAGAATAATAATTAATATAGATCGTATCCTGTTTTCATACAGAAATACTATAGCTCTCTTGAGGTGTAGTGGATAGGACTCCATTATTATTAGTGGTACTTAGAACCTCAATCACATATCCAGCTGCTTTCGCAATTGGAGTGGTTCCTGTGGGGCAAGTCCCTACTCATCTCAGCGTTTGAAGGTTAAAATAACCTCCAGATGATCATTCAATGCAATCTATACAAAAGATGAAAATTAGCACAATCTTTCTAAATTCCTCTTGGTCTATGTTAAATTACCTGCATTTGGTATACTATATCCAGCAATGGTGCATACTTGAGCTGCTGAATTAGCCAAAAGTAAAAAGAGCAGCAGAAATATCAGATTCTCCATATTTATTATAATCCAAGGGGTTTTGGGGTTTTGGGGTTTTGGGGTTTTGGGG